TCTATATTGTACAATATGTATGATCTTGAAAATAGAGGTTGCTTGGCCGGTATTGATTGTTCTTAAAAACAAAAGCACTTCGGCCAGAAAAGGTTTTTATTTATTTGACCTTCCGACAAAAATATTTAAGAAGAAATACGTAAGAAAAAATAAAAATTAAAACATTTGGCGTTATAAAGGTATAACGCACCTACATTTATAATTCCAAATGTTTTAATTTTTATTTTTTCCTGACAAGGACAAAATATTTTTGTCGAAACTTCGAGAAAATTAAAACCTTTTCTGACTGAAGTGTCTCTTGTTTTTAAGAACAATATGTATGATGTCCTCATTGTTTGAAAAGTTAGATATTGTAGGTATTGGGCGAGTGTTGTTGGGTGTTAGGTTCAATGTGTTGTATTGTATCTTATTGTATTCTCTATTAATATTACGTAACGATATGTTTTAACATCGGTAAAATGTGTTCTTTTGTATTTTGTTTGAAAGAGGTTTTAATAAGCCTGTGTTTTCAACTAGAAAACACTCCCGTAAAATTTCTCATATTTTCGCTGAAAGTGGGCATAAAGCCTGTTAAAAATACTGTCAAATGAATAATAGATAGTCTGTTTATTAAAAAAAAAAAAACTCGTGTATTTTAAGTATTCTATATGGAGAGATATAGTGTCTGATATTCCCCCAAGTTGAATGAGCCGTTCTGTCAATGCTCGGTGTCGAACCAAGTGTAAATGGATTTTTCTCCAACATGGAATTCCAAACAGGCTGACTGTGTGAACATTCTGAGTTTATATTGCTGCATCATGATGTATATACCTTTTTTTGTCATCAAAATTATAATATTTTTCATTTATTGATTTAAATATTATGATAAATTAACTTTTCATTGATTTTTTTATGTGTTATACAGACTGTGTAATACATCTGTATTATGACAGAATATTTATTATCATGTATATTTAACACCACAGGAACTCCACACCACTTTGAAGATAGACGTGAGGACAGAACAATTTTGGGACAACGGACGTGAAAACTACGAGGAAGACAACAAATAAATAAACTTAGCAACTTCTGAAGATAAATATTTCAGTATTTACTTTTTTAAATTTACCTTTAGTATAGAAACCCGCTCTGGAAACACATACATTACCAATAAAAAGGAAATCAAAGTCGATTACCCTGTAACCTGGCGTGTAACAATATTTGCTGACTTCTTATCTGAGATAGAGATTTTTCTCGCCATCGGGAGGAGTGTTGTGGTTTAATTCTTATCACCATTAGGAAAGGTTTTACCAGGGTAATAAATACATCGTTCTGATGGATATTTAAAGGGAGAGGTGCCTCTTTAAGTACATGAATATCATCCTCCCGTAACTTTAGGATAAATGGTACCTCTGCTATTACGCACAGAACCACCAATAAGCAGCCACAACACCTGTTTTGGTAAATACAGATAGTAGACAACAACCTGTACACTCATGTTTAAGGCTATAGCTTTGGTCAGAACGAATTCCCTTGTGTAAAATCCTACAGGAAGATATTGGTTTGAAAAAATTAGAGTAGAAAAAAATCACAAAAAAAATCACCTTTTAAAATTTATATTTAATTCTTTAAAGAGACAAGGGTCGCCTCTCCCGTCAAAATAGACGTCTAAAACCAGACGCCATCTATTGACCGTCGCCGCAACTAGCGGCCTCGGGTCGGTGACAAAGCCACAGCACCAGCTTTGGCAAACTGAAAAGCGTCCACCTAGAGACCATGGTTTATTGTGTGTGTGAAGCTTATAAACCTAGTTTGATATGGATACTAAAAGATATTGGTATATATTGTACATTAACTCTATTAAATACAGAGTTTGGGGGAAATAGGTTAATTTCCTGAATGTTGCTGATTGATTAGTATGGATCCAAAACTTATTAATATTCGATAATCTAACAAAGGAATTATTTTTAAAAAATCTACTACTTTGAAAAACTCATTATTGATATTAGAACATTCTATAAATGAATATTTTTATGTTACTGTATTAATTCAATTTATATGTAACTTACCCTATATTTAACACGCTCCTTTTTTTATTTCCATAATATTAGTCAAAAACTCGATATACATTCATGGACAAAACTTAAGGAAGTTGTATCTATTACCATGTATATCGAGACAATAACTCTGAAAGATAGTACAGGGAGCTTTATTGAAGATACACGAAATAACCAAGTATGAACAAGATTGCCTCTGTAACCTTAAAAAATAAAACAGATGACCTGCGGTATCAAAGACTTTCCACTTCCTTAAGTTGTGTCCATGAGTGTAAATAAGACAAAACTCGGATTGTCATAGAGTTTCAGAATGGCTGTACACCTCAAAGACCAAACAAGGTTGTCATACAGTTATGCAAAGGGAAGGTTAGCTTTTCTTGATTCATCAAAAATATATTTTTAAGCAAAGCCTGGGAATTAATGTTTAGTTTATATTTATTCTGATAGACGGTGTAATCCATTAGTAACCTTCAGTTGCAGGATCAGAATAAAAATGTTTTGTCAATTTAACTAACTATTTCGGTACCTCGATGCTATGTTTACATATTAGATAAGGTTATTTATATAATTTCTCTCGGTTTGTTCATTCTAATATGAATCCAGTCTATAGCGGTTATATACACTTATGGACAAAACTTAGGAAGTGGAATGTCTTTGATGTCGTCGGTCGTATATTTATTTATTATTATTTTTTTTTTGTAGGCGGCAGAGGCAATTTTTTTTTGTCACACTTAATTATCTCGTGTGTCTTTAATATAAGTTACTGTATATCAAATAAATTTCAGAGTTATTGTCTGAATACCGATATACATGCTAAAAGGTACAACTTCCTTAAGTTTTGTCCATGAGTGAACATTTTTGAAAATTGGTACTTAAAAATTAATTTTTAAATAAATATGATAAAAAATCTATTTCTACAGAGATTATATTGAAATGGATAAATATTGAAAGAGGGAGGGCATGGCTCATCAATGGTGAACCCTGGGTAATCTTCAGACCATTCTACCTGTCTACAATGTGAGCTTATTTCACCACGGATCTCTCTAGAGTGTCGGATATATAAACAATATTAGAGCGGTGGTCTCGTAGATTAAACTAGCGAAACCGCTTGGAGGGGTTCACCACTGATGAGTCAGGTCCTTCCAATGTCTTTTTACAGCGCAATTAGGATAATAGGAAGTTTGTTTTATTCGTAAAAAAGTCTTTAAAATGTTTCAAACTAATTTTAATTGTAATATAAAATATTTTAAACAAGTAGACGTCGGGGATATTTTCTCTGCTTACCAACCTCCCATCACCCTAGAGCGTATTTGAAAATATTTATTTCTAATTTTTAATTTGTGTGTGTTTTTTTTTCTGTTTGTGTTTCCTCTTTAATAGGCGCAAATATTTCAATATCTCGCCTGGTTTATTAATAAATAAATAAATAAAGCGGAATGTTATTGAGGATAATCGATGAGAAACTGTGTTTAACGTGGGAATTTTCTGTCATTATAGGATACCGTATCAGGAGCTTCCGTACCTCGCCGCTCTTTGACTGCTGGAAATTGTAAGGAATTCTGATGAATACATACAGCGACTAGGTTATATGCAACAGAGTTAACAATATGTAAAAATGGTTCCAGAGATTATATGCAACAGAGAGTTAAGAGTATGTAAAATGTGTTCTAGAGATGATATGCAAAGAGGATTTTAAGCTTGATTACCAGAAAGAGAGTGAAAAACCACAAATGAGATAAGGCGAATAAAGGATAGCTCTTAGCTAGACTTGGTATTTACATGTGTTTAAAGTGGGATTTTTTAGTAAGTGGTTGGGAAGATCTAGTTTCCGGCTTATACTGTTGAGATTCTGAGAAACAAAAGCTTCCTATACCAGTCTGTTGCTTAAGTTATAGTAATGTACTAACGCCAACCGCATAGTTGTTTCAGGATGTTAGTCTTCGTCAGCGTGGTGTATCTCAACGACAAACAAAAAATTAGTTCGAGAAACTTCCCGAAGAATGAAGAAATCAAGTCAATATTAGTTATATTTATTTCTCTAGATGGCGTAAGCAATTAGAGCAGTTTTCACTTGAACGATCATATGTGTGCTCGTCTTTAATTTTACTTCCTGATCTCGTGTAATCGCCCTTTTGTACAATTTTTCTCATATGTAACCAGATATCTCGCGGCTATCAGTACCAACAGAAACCCAAATAGACAAAGTCTATATATATAAATATATATTATCCCTAGTACACGTGGTACAGGCCATGATATTCATGGTGGGTGGAAATTGGCGACTGCTTTTATTGTCTGTAGATGACCAGACTTGAGTCTTGGAATCAAAGACTGTTGTTCCCTTGGGAGGACAGAACCGGTGCTTGTCCCTCCTGCTCTGTACCAGTCATGTGCAGCAGTTTTTTTTTTATTATTATCCCTAGTACACTTGGTATAGGCCATGATAATCATTGTGGGTAGAAGTTGGAGACTGCTTTTACTGTAAGTGCATCACATGTCTACACATGTGAAAAGCAGTTCGACTTTGAACTTACAAATAAGCCAGAGTCCCGTTTGTTCACTTGCCCTCGCTGGTGGAGTTGAACATTTGCAAAAATCGGGGGCCATTGGAACTTTTTTTTTTTCTCAGATAAAAGTGCACAATGCGGGAATCGAACCCGGGTCGTAGCGGTCGAAAACCAATGGTTTAGACCATCCTTCCACCGACTGCCGTCAAAGTCTATATAAATACCTAGAATATCATCAGCACACGATCAAATATAGACGCAGTTTACAGGAATTTATCATGAACCCATTCATTATGGCTGCTGGCAGTGTCCCCTCAGAGCTTCTTTTCTATGGCTAGTTTTTTCTTTCTTTTTTTAGATTTCTTGATGCGCTCTATGGTGATGTGATCTTGGGAAGTCTCATCGCATAACTGCAGCTATTACCGCTGGAATATTAATAAATAAAATAAAAAAAAGATGGAGATGCCGGGTATCGATCCCAGTACCTCTCGCATGCTAAGCGAGCGCTCTACCATCTGAGCTACATCCCCATATATGTGTTTTTCCCAGTTCCTCATAATATTTCTCCAACGCAATTAGAGCACTAGGAAATGGTTTTAGTAGATAAATAAAAAATAGTTCTAAATTAGATATTGTCTCAAATTCTAGCGAGTTGTTATATAGCACACACACATAAAGACTTTATTAAGACACACCAGTCAGATTTTCCTCTCTCATTGCCGGCTTACAACGATATCCTCACGCTGATCAATTACCATCATGTAGTGGAGGAGAAAACGGCGAATCCAAGTTATTTTTCCTGCTTAACTGCTTTGTAAAAGTTATATATGGGCAGAGCAACCATTCGACTTGATATGGCGCTGGTTGAAATACTTTGTACTGAGGTGTACTTTGTACATAATGATGCATTATGCTCATCACCCTAGTAAAAATCGTTACTGAAGAAGAATTGAGCCACAACACCAGTTTTGGAAAATTCAGATAAAAGCCAACAACCTATATACCATGGTTTGGGGCTATGGCTCCTCATCAGTACAGGGGCGGCTTCAATTTCATAACATCCTACCGGAGAGGTTATGGAATCGGTCGAATTTACCAAACAGGTGTTTGAGCTGGTGAAGTAGCAAGGACGATTTTCAAGCTAGAATATAACATAAAGTTGTGGAAGGATGATAATCATGTATCTATTTTATAATATTCCATTATGTTGTATTTTAGACTATATTGTAACAAATTATTTAATATTTTTATTAACAGATGGTCATTTTTATGTTTATATTTTGCTACTCTGTAAATTCCCCTCGTGGCTTATCTTTTGTTTACCATTCATAGTTTGTCTTTGCCTGAAATAAATTGCTGTCTCATCCTAAAGTTTTTGTCTTCCCTAATTTTCCACGTGGCAATATTCTTATATATAACATTTCTGCCCCGAACTGTAGAACACACTGATAGTAAATATAATTAAATAAAACTCTCACACACATACATCGCAGACATTAAAAGCCTCTTCGATGTAGATTGTGATATACACATGTGTAAATCAAGGAATACAACTGTGAAATGTGAACTCGGTATTTTATCATCATCCAATTCGATGGCCTCTCATATTGGCTAATGTGCTAAAAACATATTGTAATTTGGGGAGAATGTAAATAAATATCTATAATTATCATGTGATTGGGGTTGTTTAATTGTAAAATATACTATATTGATATATGCATATAAAACTTCCAAAATTACCGTGAGTATAATTGTTTGGTAAATTTAAACACTCTTGGATAGAAGATTGCCTACAATAATGAATGTCTATACGCCCCTTGATAAAGTAGAACATTGCCTAAGGCATGGTCGTCTCTTGGAGAAACTATACGGCGGCACACACACACACATCAGGGGAAAAAAAAAGACAATCGTTAATACTTATCGTGTAAATTTGTTCAACAATAAGGGATACACTTGTCTAACAAAATATATTGAGTTACAGCAAGCGCTTTTCATTTACTTGTACAGTTTCGGTGACTCCCTGTTCACCTTCCTCAGGGGGAATATAAGTTCTTGAATTCTACTTTTCAAAAAAAGGAAACTTGAGTACCGTGTAAAACAGTACAATCTAAGTAGTCAGAAGTGACTAATTATAAACCGCCTAGCACATTAGTACAATATAGAAGGTAGACAAAGGTATGAGAAGTGAAAAGAGAGAGTACTCACATCGTGGTATCATAGTACAAACATATATACAAATGAAACAAAGTATAAATATCTCAAAAAATGAGTAAATTCATCAATAGTTTGCTACTTAAAGTTGGTACGTTGCTTGCGTAACGGTGTGAAATGAGTACAGTATTGAATATAGCCAAACTCTGGAAAATATAAACCCATATCCGCGTACTCCCAAATATTCATCACAATCACTGAGCTCTCTGAGTATAAATGTCTGACAATTTAGAATACTTTTCTCTAGTAATCTGCATATATTGCAGTATGTCCCACTATGGCAAATAAATACATCAATACAGATTTCAAAAAAGAGAGACACAGATAGATAAAGTATCACACATTAACTCAACTAATAGTAAATTTGGGTATCTAACAATTTTTGAGGATAGTGGGCAGGTTGAAGTATGAAGACATAAATTAGCGCGAACACCAGGAAGTATAGATATTTGGGGCTTATATCGTAGAGGTCGAATTCAGGGGTTTACAGTACTCCAATATCGTCTATACAATCAGTAAGCCCAATAAGACGAATTATAAGAAATTAAATACTTTATAAAACATTGGTCAAATTATCTATGATGTATAAATGGAGCTCGAATCTCGGAAATAAGTACAATCATTAAGCTTCATTTTGAGTAATTATAAACATATAACCAATGTGCATGGCATTAATGAAAGTCGATGATGTTTAAACGGGGATATCGAAGAACGGAAGGATGCACACAGTGATTACACCAAATCAATTAGTGTGTCAGAGAGTATGGGCATCTGACAAACTAGAGCGGTATTGGATAGCGGGCTGCCTAGACTGATGTCTACTGTAGTACAACACCAGGAAGCACAGCACTAGGAAGTACTCACATCGTGGAAATCGTTCAAGCCCCCAGCCGCCATGGGCGCACATGTCCGCCGCGGTCCTCTAGGCTGCCACCAACACTCCGTCCCACACATCTGGCCGCTGATTGGTCCTCTCCATGAATGGCGGCTCCCATTCACGCGCGTGCGCCGTGACGCGTGCCTCGCTCGTGCCTCCAGTCACGCCGCGTGTGCCTCTCAATTTGCATACGTTGACCGATCTTTCTTCTCGGCTGCTCTTTACCAGCTTCACTCTCCTTCTGTTGGTTTTCTTTACTTTGTCTGTATAGCTCCTTCTGTTTGATTTCTTTATTCTGTCGGTACAGCTTCTGTCTCCGGCGGTAAAACTACTAAAGTGAAATGTATGCAAAGTTTACCATGGCCTCTGTGATACTTGTTCGGCAGTAAAACTATTACAATAGGAACGATACAGAGAAGATTAGCATGGCTCCTATGATACTTGTTCGGCGGTACAACTACTACAATAGGAACGATACAGAGAAGATTAGCATGATCCATGTGATACCAGTTCGGCAGTACAACTACTACAATAGGAAGGATACAGAGAAGATTAGCATGGTTCCTGTGATACTTGTTCGGCTGTACAACTACTACAATAGGAAGGATACAAAGAAGATTAGCATGGCCCCTGTGATACCAGTTCGGCGGTACAACTACTACAATAGGAAGGATACAGAGAAGATTAGCATGGCCCCTGTGATACTTGTTCAGTGGTACAATTACTATAATAGGAATGATACAGAGAAGATTAGAATGGTCCCTGTGATACTTGTTCAGTGGTACAACTACTACAATAGGAAGGATACAGAGAAGATTAGCCTGGCCCCTATGATACCAGTTCGGCGGTACAACTACTACAATAGGAAGGATACAGAGAATATTAGAATGGCCCCTGTGATGTCAGTTTGACGGTACAACTACTACAATAGAAAGGATACAAAGAAGATTAGCATGGCCCCTGTGATGTCAGTTTGACGGTACAATTACTACAATGGGAAGGATACTGAGAAGATTAGCATGGCCCCTTTGATACCAGTTCGGCGGTACAACTGCTATAATAGAAAGATTTAAATATAAGTCAATAGCGCGCCATCTATACATAAGAATTACAACTATTAAACCCGAATCTTTCTTTTTAAAATAAAACAAACTTCTACTGTCCTTACTGCGATGGAAAAATTTTGGGAAGGCTCAGTTCATCAGTGGTGTACCTTCCCAGCGGTTTCCCAAATTTAATCTACCAGACCGCTTCTTAGAGCCCTAAAACTGTATTGGACGATTCTGCTTATATATGCTACAATGAAGGGTGAAATATTAGTTATGGTATTCAAGCAAACTATGGACATAATCTTAATTTTTTTCTTAAATAGCTTTGTTCCTATTGGTTACTGAAGAGCATTACTTGATGCAAATATCAATATGTAATTCTACTCTCCTAAAAGCCTATGTTCATTGTTTACTTTAATTTTCAAAATTAAATTTGAACGCATTATTTACACATTCAAAATATTCCTAGTGCTCAATAACACATCTAAAAATTTATTTTTTGTTCGATAATGCCGATGTAAACGAATGTGTATATTTCAATACTCCAGGGCGTCTAGTGTTCCAAAGTAATACATTGACCGTGGCGGGGTGTGTACAGATTCCTGAAAGTCCTGGCTCCACACCAGATAAACTGGAATGTTCTCGGGAAGAATAAGGAAAAACCACGACGTACACAAAAGTAAATTACAGGACACCATATGGGAAGATGATACTTATCTTCCTGTCTATTCGACCTGGTCAAGAAGTCCATCTCTACTCCAACGTTGGCAGATAGAAACCTGGAGATAAGATCTTTCATGACCATAGTTCTTGATTTCGCAAGCTTTCGGAGTTGTTTATTCCTCAACAGGGGCTTAGATTGAAGCTACAAGAATAGGATTTCTATATATTTGTACAGAACTGCTCTTATATTTTCTCAATACTTTATTCAAATTTAAGGTATCTATAACTATAATTATGTAAATTTACAGCAATGAATAATTATATACGTCTCTTGTTGTAGATTTTTATTTTATTATTCTAGGTGCTTGTAGAAGGACCTACCGTGTCTCTCCGAATGCTTGCGAAATTTTTAATCAAATAAAGTATTCTCTTCCTCTCAAACGCTCATGGACAAAACTTAAGGAAGTTGTACCTTTTACCATGTGTAATGATTCCATATGCAGATTTTATTCTTGGAGAAAAAAGTGCAGCATATATGTAAACATGTATTAATTTTCTGATAGAAAATTAATTATGTAAAAATGATTGGATATATATATATAGTGTAAGAGGAGAGTGAAAGGATCCCATTTTATAGAAATAAATATCTTATACCGTATAGTGTTCGTCAACTGCTATTTTGTTAGGTAGAGAACACGACACCATGTATATCGGGATTCAAACAATA